AAATGCACCAGTTCATACCAAACCTCTCAATCCTCTTATAACGTACCGTCAGTAGAATAATATTCATCGGTGGGTATTGTTATTCATGACATTATGATAAGGTATGGGGAGTCAATCTGACCCGGGACAAGCCCAAGACAGACTGAATTGAATACAACAGGGGCACCCAACGAGAATATAGTTCAAAACCAGTTGAACATAGCATTGTTAAACGTATTTTAGTATTTAAACGATAGATATAGGCATATTTTTATCCCCTAAAAATTTTTTATCTGTTCGGATTTCCTAGCTGAAAGTCTAGTAATCCGAAAATTATAGGGATCGAAACATACCTTTTCGAAAATTTTCAGCCAGAAAAAAGGCTCCTGAAAATTCTAGGTGACCCGTTTTAGGGTAAAAATCCGTTACAAATGGGCAATTATACCATTTTTTAGATGTTCGAAAATCCTCGGAGAGGCAGGCAAGCAAGAAATTTTACAGCAAATGTTCCGAAAATTCTATATCTCAAATCGTCTTCCGAACAGATATTTTCCGAAAATTGACGTTGGGTACCCCTGATACATGAATAGATAATCCAGAACCCGACTTACTCCATGGCTGGGGAGGGTGTTTGGGTCGCCCATCGCCCTTCGTGTCGGACAAAGTGAAGTGAATGGGACAATACGTACCAGTGTTTCCTATTTAATATCATAAGTGACGAATTACTCCTTAATTTGGGCGCGAAATTTCAGCGTTAATTTGTAATTTCACATGCCATGGCAACCCATCCGTACGTCTCAGTAACAAGATGGCGACGAAGTTTTAAAATGCCGTGAATGAAGATGTCAGGGCATAAAAAGACGCTTTAGAACACCTGAACACACGAAAGAGCACATCAAGAAGGATTCTAACAGATATTTTGTCGAAAAATTCTGAACTTACGCCAAATTTAAGCTCTAAACGTTCGAGAGAGTGGAATTCTCGATCGATACGATCCAGGATAAACACGTCAAAAATCCAAGATTGGTATTTGTAATCAAATGGTGACGAGTGAAAGGCTAAAGGCTCGGGAAATTATTAGGATTTGGACAAAACGCGCGTGAAATTATTCCACTTCCCTAATTTCACTCGTCACCATTTGATTACACATACATATATACTCATTTGTATATCATTAATTAATCCCCAATTCCGATGGAAAGTGAATAGCTGAATGTATGCCTATTACTACAAGAGCCGGGCCCGGTTCCTCAAAAGATGGTTAAGTATTAACTTTCGTGTTTGCCGGTATTCTGGACTCTCTTCTCTTCTTAGCCTGCGTGGCAGGCGTTTGAAAGGGAAGGGAAAGGGAGTTTTAGGTGCGAGAGAAACGCGAGAGGCGCGCCCCTCGCGTTTCCCTCGCGCCCAAAACCCCCTTTCCCTTTCCTTTCAAACGCCTGCCACGCAGGCTATTCTCTTCTCGACTTCGTTATCACAAACAACAACGATATTAGGCCCAGGATTTTCTTTCTTTTCGACTTCAACACTATCTCGTTCGCTTACTTCTCTAAAGTCTCCCACTAACTCTTCCAAATTCAACTCAGGGGAAAAAGGCTCCTGAGAGAAAGTATTTTGCGTTAGGAAAATTTCGTCGTCACTATCCATTGCCGCTCTCACAAGTGTACTGGCCCCCCAAAAAATACCAAGACAAAAATAAAAAAACACAAAAGGTTTGAAATTTGATTGTTGTCGGCTTAGCAAATAAACAATGCGCTATTGTTCTCCGTTTCTCACCTAAGTGAGAACAAGTGGTTTGAACAAATTATGACCCGTGAAACGCCCTTTCTCGATGCTGTGTGAAAACCTTTACAATACTTACAATGAAATACGTCATTGTCTGCAGTCGGTTCAAAAAATGACAAACAAACAGATGTGAAAGACAAGTGGCCAATTATTGCCCTGTGAAGACGACCTTTATGTAACCTATACCTCCTGAATAATATCATGAAATAAGTTAGATAAACCCCTCGAACGTCGGTATTAATCCATATACATCCCGAGGGCCGTACGTGGAAATCTACTTTATCGTGACTTTTGTTGGAGAGCGCTGTTCTTGGAGGCGTACAATTCTCCAAAAGCCAATTTTTACACAAGGTTTTCTTGTCTATGAACATGTTACTCGAGCTTACAAAATACTTTTGTGTCCTCACTCCGAGATTCAGTAATGATAACATAGAATTTTACTCTAGGTAATGCATAGGAAGGTAAATACAAAAATAGAACAAGATTTTTATTCCTGGATTAGCGCTAATCGGCCTTGCAGGAACTGGGGCCCGGAGTATAAGAAAATCCTTAAATTACCTGCATCCGTACCTGGTTGGATATAATTACACTGGCGTTTTTACGATTTAAGAGATGCTATAGTTCGGCATATTTCCTCACTCGAGTCCATATAGAAAAACGTTTTGTTGAAAAGATCTGCGACATTTTTGTAATGCTCGATTTGTTTTTCCATACAGCGACTATCCCATAACCAATCATAGTTTTCGAAATTGAACAAGTTGACATGAATGTTAGTTTGATTATATTCCCTGCATAGATCGCCACAGAGTTTTATTCCGAAAGAATAACATAAGCCTTCAACCAATGTGTCATTGACGAAACGTACCGTTGGTTCTACTGCATCCATGTATTTTCCATTGAGCATGAAGTGGCGTACGTGTATCGAAGAACGTGGATGTGGAATCTTTTCCTCTGGCTTGACTTCAGTGAAGAAATAGTCATACGGTACTGATGCATTTAATGGACGAGTCGGTTTGACATACTGCAAATGCCATGCGTATTCATTTCTGTGGTAGTACCACATGTAGTTGCACATGGTACTATAATGGCAGTAACACGACCAATGAATATTGAGTTTGTGGGTTGTTTCAGAAATAACTTGTTTAAAGTCTTTACCGTGCAATTTAGCCACATACTGACGGAATTCTCTGATATGTGCCGTTTTGAATGTCACGGGGAAATAATGCATACACTGCATGACTTGCTTTCGACCAAGTATATAAGCAGCACTTTCAATCCAACAAGGAATTCTAGGGTCTCCGATTCTTCCTGTTACCACAGGTTTTCCATCTTCCAGAATTAAGCTTGGCGTAACTGCTGTCGTGAAAAGTGTGTCTACATCAACGAAACCAACATACGTGGCATTAGTACATAAATCAGCATGCATCATGTCCATGTACATCCGCATTTTGCCCCAGTGATGAATCATCTCTTGAGGATATGGTTCCATGTAACAAACTCGTAAATCTAGCTTTTTATTCTGCGTTGTCTCATTCAGTGTAGAACCGTGTTTTCTGTCTTCTTCACTTTCTTTATCTAAGACAACAACAACTTTTGAATTCTTCGGCCAAAATAATGACATGCTTCGTAAGATCCAACTTTCAGCTTGAAGAGGAAACTGTTTAACTGACGAAGTATATCGTAGATAAACTTCAAACTCATCTAAAGGGTTTTTAGACTTCTCAGCTGACTCCGTTGGTTCTTCAACATTTGATTTTTTCACTCCAGTAGAAAATTTTGCTGAAGAGATGACTACATACTCAGAGAGTCGAGTATATAACCATGTGCATACAAGATATAACGATACGACGGAAACCATCTGTAAAACAAATAATGCTTCGCTTAAACGTGGAGCTCTCATTTTACCGGCATTCAACACAGGCGGCCCGAATTCACGTTACGAGGGAAGGGTGTAATGTAATTTACATACCATAGGTGACGCGCCGGTGTCGCGTTGCAGGCGACCGTTGAAAATATAAGAGTTTTTGTATGAGAAATATATTACTGAGATCTGCGAACGCTAAATAACACTAAACCTTACTTTTTCTTAAATGAAATTAATAAAAAAGATTTACCTGCAATGTATTCCACTGCATTTTGGTGTTTGATTGTCGTTTACTGGTTTTCAGTAAAACGACAAACAGACACCAAAACGCAGTGGAGTACATTGCAGGTAAATCTTTTTTATTAATTTCATTTAAGAAAAAGTAAGGTTTAGCGTTCGCAGATCTCAGTAATATATTTCTCATGCAAAGTCCCTTATACTTTAATGGTCGCCTGTAACGCGACACCGGCGCGTCACCTATTGTATGTAACTACATTACACCCTTCCCTCGTAACGTGAGTTTGGGCCACCTGTGCATTCAGCTGAGGGCAACATGCGTATAGTGACATCCCCTTCGTAAAAAGTCGATTTTCCCGAAGTTACGCAGTAAAAAAAGCTGAGTAAACTGAGTAAATCGTTGCATCCATAATGACTCATTATGGTGCAGGGCCCAAAATAACGGCCGGTCAACGGACAATGTCCGACCTGATCATGGACTTGACCGGTCCAACTCTCGTCTCATGGCCGGTCATTTTTGGATACGAACATTTTGTAATATTTTCCATAAGTTGTCGCTCAGTGCGTTTTGCTCTATAACGCTCTGTAGTGGCTTCTTTTTTCTGTGGCTTTTTTTTTTGCTGCCTTGCACTAAAGACTTTAAAGAAAAAAGAACGCCGCAATACATTTCATGTCGTCATGTCGTAATGAAACGCAACAAAGCGAAACAACAAGAAAATGAAATGTGGAGTGGTGCAACGATGCAGCAGGTAGTAATGTGCTTTCTGCTTGTGCTAAAATCAATAGTGTGACCGTCTTTGGGAAAAAATGCACTAAAGAATAGCTAACAGTTTGTCCATTCTAGGAAGATCGAAGGAGACTCTGTTCGCAGGGTAGATAAAGTGTTACGCGACGACCCAAACGAAATTTCTGAAATTTATTGACTTCTGATGATAAATACGCTGTTTGTGGACCAGATTTTTCCCAAATCAACTTCTTTACCGAAAATATTTAGCGTTGTTCTTCTTTGTGGAACGTTTGTGGAGGAGACTTTCGCTAGGAAAAAGATCAAGTTTTACCGATATGCAGATATGGGACGAACCTTGGGGATTTCAGACACCGCCGTACGATGACACTAAGGGTATGCCGGACATGAAAAAGGGCAAAACCCGCGGAAAGGAACTCACGAACTGGTGTAAATGAATTTTTCACTAACTTGCCGCCAAAAAGCTGAACTTCAAAGCACTACAACGATCTATTGCCAGCGTAATTCGATATTCCATTGGGCAAAAAAAAAATGATACCTTTACTTATTATTTAGCAATTAATGACATGAGGCTGAGTAGGATATGAAGAATTAAGCAGATCGAGGAGGGTGTTATACACGGAGGCCGAAGGCCGAGGTGGATAACACTCTCCGAGAGAATTTCAGAATTGGGGAAATATTCTGAATGAATAATAAAGGAGATTAACGCTCCATGAAATTAACGCGAATCGTTAAGATTCGCGTTAATTTAAGTCGCGTTAATTTTGTTGAGCGTTAATTAAGTGCAGCGTTAATTTCCGCTTTTAATTTCCAGTATTTTAACCCCAATTTTGGAACCTGTCCAGACATTCTTGACATCTAAAGCACATTAACTACAAGCTTTCTTTCTTTCCATTTACCCTGTATTTTTCATCTTTCGCAAAAGCTAAGGCGAAGGTTTACAATATTTCGAGTTCGTCTTCATCGTTGTCGCTATCAGAAGAGATGTGAATATCTTCTCCTTTGATTTCGGCCACCAACTGTGTCTTAATAGCGTTAATTTCCTTTATTCGAAATTCTACCTCCTCTTTCGCGTTAATTTTCTTTATTGGAAAGTCGTTTTCCATTAAATTCGCGTTAATTTAAGTCGCGTTAATTTCCAATACTTTAATTTCATGGAGCGTTAATTTCCTATAATAAGGTAGTATTCATTATTTGACCAGCCAAAATCGGGGTTTGTCCGGGCTAAAAAATATTTGGCCGGCAGGAGCCCGGTCATCAGGACTGGCGACCTGCTGTCCGTTATTTTGAGCCCTGTAGTGAGTAAACTTAAGCAGAAATACTGAGTAAAGATTACTCACTGAGTAGTGGTGTCTGAGCAGAATTATACCCCTCTTTCTGGGGGCGGGGGGGGGGGTTAAAAGTGGGGAGTAAAATTTAATAAATAGGTCATGAATAAAATGCGCGGGAAACTTGTTTAATTTATGCTAACTACGTTCAGGCAAGTACTAGTAATGACGTCACAACACCATAAGGTCAATTTGACAGTTTAGCAAGCAGCGCCGTTAGTCAGTTAGTTATGCCAGTTAAAAAGCCGTCATTTGCATACAAATTGGCTCTACAGCCGTGACTTTTTATTATAAAAACACAAAACAATTAATAACTTAACAGGGATCAATTAAAACACGTGACTAATAAAGCCCCACCCTCCACAAAAAAAAAAAAAGAAAAACAGACACGAGATACAGTTTTAAAAACTTCATTGAAAACCAGTCATATAAAGAGTACGATACAAAGATTTGAGAGGGATAGAAAATTAATCATCATCTTCTTTCTCCTCTTTAGAAAGGGAATAAAAAGTGTTTTCCCACGTCTTCGCGTTTTCGCGACACCGAAGAAAGCCCTCTTTCATGTCATTGCCCTTCTTGGGGATCTGGTGATTACATATGGGACAAATCTTGTATGAATCGTGCTAAGAGTATTTACGACATGTCATGATCAATGTCCCGTACTCATTAGAATTCTCACAATGTTCACAGGGATTTTCAGAATGACAGGTTGTGGACGTTTCAGGGCGATTACTTTCTGTTTCCTCACTTTCGTTTTCAGTGTCGTTGTCGCTCTCTTGGGTGTCTTCAGTTTCACTTCTTCTCGCAGAAGCTATCTCCTCTTCCTCTCTTTCTGGTGAACTTTCTACTTTGCTCTCGTTCTCGGAAGTATTTTCTCCATTTCGGTAGCCTTTTTCTTTTTCTATCAAATCATTTAGGACCTTTTTGTTCTTGATTACGCCCTTATCGACTCCTAATTCCGCAAGTCCATCTAGAAGGGTATTCAGCGCACGAGGCTTGGTAACGTCATCGTTATGTGGTAATAGTACATATTCGACTAGCTCTGCGATGTTTGTCACGGGAATTGTGCGTTTATTTCAAAGTAACTGTCCGCGGGGAGTCCAGAATAGAATATCTCTGGAAGTGGCCATGCTATGCAACAAATCAGAAGCACGCTTGTTAGACACCGCATTGGAAAGATTACTCAAAACATCTTTAATGCTTGGTTCTTCATCCTCGCTTTCATCGTCAGGACTTCCGCTCTCTTCATTTTCACTTTCGTGCTCTTCATCAACAAAATCTATCTTTCTCTTCATTTCAATCAGTACAGGTGGAAGGCAGGCTTCGAATGAGTAACATGTAGCTCTGTATTTTCTATTATAGCATAAAAAATCCTAAGCTTGTAAGAGCACGGACCAATAAGTCTTGAATAAAACCACCACCCTCTTGTACAAGGATTGGGTTCTTTGTTTTGTAAGGGACCGCTGTTACTGCAAGGTTTAATAGAGCATCTTCATATGACAACAATTTCCGCTCATTTTCTTCGGGGATGGGAATGTATTCCTTAAGTATATTGTATAATACTTGGACTATGCAGTTATTGTGGAGTGACGGTCCGTAGGAGAAACTGGCGCTGATGAGCTGGACAAACAGCTAACAGTTGGAGAAAACCACGATTGTTCTTCACTACACAAGACATTGCTTCAAAATAAACTAATGATAGAAGTTTGCAGTATTTTACTGAATGTCGTGGAAGAAAGCAATAGAAATGTGGTGGTGGTGGTGGACAGAAACAATAGAAATGTGGTGGCGGTGGTGGAGGAAAACAATAGAAATGTGGTGGTGGTGAAAGAAAGCAATAGAAATGTGGTGGTGTTAGTGGAGAAAAAAAACAATAGTAATATGGTGGTGGTGGTGGTGGAAGAAAACAATAGAAATGTGGTGGTGGTGGAAGAAAGCAATAGAAATGTGGTCGTGTTAGGGGAGAAAAAACTATAGAAATGTGGTGGTGGTGGAAGAAAGGAATAGAAATGTGGTGGCCGTGGTGGAGAGAAAACAATAGAAATGTGGTGGTGGCGGTGGTGGTGGCCGTGGTGAAAGAAAACGATAGAAATGTGGTGGTGTGGTGTTGATGGTGAAGTAAGCCTATATAAATGCGCAACATTCTACCTTTTTCTCAGTCTACATTCTGCCCCTGAGGAGTTGACATGAGTTGGTTCTGTTCCGTTTACGAAAGATCATTTAGTAGAAAGGATAGCGTGCAAAGGCACGTGATGTCTAAAAACCGCAATGCTGGTCTCACTCCATTTCAAACAGTTCCAATGTCTTCAAAAAAATGTCAGCGGTTTCGCTTCGAGCATCCTTTCACCTGCATGATTGCCGGAATGACCGGGTCCGGAAAAACGGCCTGGGCTCGATCTCTTTTACAGAAAGCTTCAGAGGCAATTTGCCTTCCCCCGGAGAGAATCATTTGGTGTTATTCACAATGGCAGTCTGCGTATACAGAAATACTAGTGGCCATGCTACACATTGAATTCGTTAAGGGAATTCCAACGGCTTTGGAGCAGGATTCTTATCTTGATGTGAACAAACGGAATTTGATCGTGTTCGATGATCAGATGATTGACGCCAGTAAAGACAAACGAATTGCGAATCTCTTTACTCGTGGTTCTTATAATCGCAGTCTAAGCGTGATTTATATCGTGCGGAATCTATTCCATCAGGGGAAAGGCAGTCGCAGCATTAGCCTAAACAGTCATTATTTAACAATTTTTTTCGAGCCCGAATGGGCTCTGAGTCAATAGCCCTCGAGGCCTAAGGCCAAATGGGCTATTGACTCAGAGGCCATGAGGGCGAGAGGAATAATTGTTTTACTAATATCCAACTAGTTAGTCAAAAATATAGAGACAAAACAACTTAAGCTAGTTAAAGCTAGACTTTAAGCCTTTTTGCCTCCAAAAAGCCCGGCGCTTTGCACTGACTTGTAGGCTTTAACATATAGCCTAGTAGTAGCTCAACCAATCAGAACGCAGCATTGATAATAGACCACTAGTTGGAGTTTACTAATTAGTGTTATTCAAGAACCCACGAGACAAATTGCAAATCTTGACTCTGGCCAAGCAAATTTATCCCGGGCAAACTGATTTCTTTTTAAATCAGTACGAAGAGGCTGTAAAAAGACCTTTTGGAAATGTTAGATCACTCTAGCATTGATGACGGAAATATTGACAGCATGCTTGTTGTATCACCATGCCGAACGCCATGCTTCAGTCAACATGGTGGAGGAGGCTAAGACAACAAAGTTACGAACTATCGTCGATTTGCTGACAGAGATGGAGCAGTCGGCAAAAAACTTTTCATTTCAACCACATGTAGGGTACACTGGTGCCTCAGGAAGGCCTAAGATTCGTGTCACTAAAGAACAGTTAACCTGTCGTGTGGATAACGGCTTTAAGGGAACAGATATGACTTGTATGTTGAGCATTTCTCAGGCTACACTCAACAGGCGGCGTAAGGATTTTAACCTTGAAATTTCACATTTTTTTTCAACCATCGACGATGATACCTTGGATGGTATTGTTCGAGGTAAAAAGGAGGAGTTCCCTAACAGTGGCTATCGAATGGTTTGGGGTCATTTAAAAGGAAGGGGACTGGTTCTTCAGCAGTCCCGTGTTAGAGGAAGCCGTTGCGGCGAATTGAATGCGCTTAGATGGCTTCACGTAACAGAAAGAAGAAAATACAAAGTAGCCAGTCCAAATGCTCTTTTGGCATATTGATGGACATCAAAAACTCCTATTTTGGTGTCACGCACTGTGAAAACTCGGAAGTTCAAATTGCTGTATTTTCGAAATGAAACAGGCTAAGGGAATGTAAACATGTACAAAGATTTACTTTTTGCTTATCTTTGACCTAGTGTAAATAACAATTCGTAAAACCTGGCTATTTTGACTTTACAATTTGATGACGTCATTGTGAAAACCATCTATTACTGAAAAGAGAGTATAAGAAAATCCTTAAATTACCTGCATCCGTACCTGGTTGGATATAATTACACTGGCGTTTTTACGATTTAATAGATGCTATAGTTCGACATATTTCCTCACTCGAGTCCATATAGAAAAACGTTTTGTTGAAAAGATCTGCGACATTTTTGTAATGCTCGATTTGTTTTTCCATACAGCGACTATCCCATAACCAATCATAGTTTTCGAAATTGAACAAGTTGACATGAACGTTAGTTTGATTATATTCCCTGCATAGATCGCCACAGAGTTTTATTCCAAAAGAATAACATAGGCCTTCAACCAATGTGTCATTGACGAAACGTACCGTTGGTTCTACTGCATCCATGTATTTTCCATTGAGCATGAAGTGGCGTACGTGTATCGAAGAACGTGGATGTGGTATCTTTTCCTCTGGCTTGACTTCAGTGAAGAAATAGTCATACGGTACCGAGGCGTTTAATGGACGAGTCGGTTTGACATACTGCAAATGCCATGCGTATTCATTTCTGTGGTAGTACCACATGTAGTTGCACATGGTGCTATAATGGCAGTAACACGACCAATGCATATTGAGTTTGTGGGTTGTTTCAGAAATAACTTGTTTAAAGTCTTTACCGTGCAATTTAGCCACATACTGACGAAATTCTCTGATATGTGCCGTTTTGAATGTCACGGGGAAATAATGCATACACTGCATGACTTGCTTTCGACCAAGTATATAGGCAGCACTTTCAATCCAACAAGGAATTCTAGGGTCTCCGATTCTTCCCGTTACCACAGGTTTCCCATCTTCCAGAATTAAGCTTGGCGTAACTGCTGTCGTGAAAAGTGTGTCTACATCAACGAAACCAACATACGTGGCATTAGTACATAAATCAGCATGCATCATGTCCATGTACATTCGCATCTTCCCCCAGTGATGAATCATCTCTTGAGGATATGGTTCCATGTAACAAACTCGTAAATCTAGCTTTTTATTCTGCGTTGTCTCATTCAGTGTAGAACCGTGTTTTCTGTCTTCTTCACTTTCTTTATCTAAGACGACAACAACTTTTGAATTCTTCGGCCAAAATAATGACATGCTTCGTAGGACCCAACTTTCAGCTTGAAGAGGAAACTGTTTAATTGACGAAGTATATCGTAGATAAACTTCAAACTCATCTAAGGGGTTTTTAGACTTCGCAGCTGACTCCGTTGGTTCTTCAACATTTGCCTCCTGTTTCAAGCGAGTCAAAAAGTTAGCTGAAAAGATACCTGAGTACTCAGAGGGATGTTTGCTTTTTCCAACATATAACAATACGACGGTAAGCAACAATAAAACAAATGCTACTCTTAAATGTCGCGCTCTCATTTTGTCCGTAACTGACGTAAAGAAGCCAAAAGGGGAAAATATATACGTTATCAGTAGAGTCATAATAAATAAATAAAACTATCTCCTAGGCAGCTGGTTTGTACCTTCATGGAACGTTCCTTCTCAAGGGCAAAAATAATCAAATAACGCAGCAATTTTTAAGTTAAGTCACTGATGCCCTTGTTAAAAATAAAAATCAGCGAATGTTTTGCAGAATGTGCAATTATATATATAACTGGATTTCGGAAAAACGTGTTAGCAAAACAGTCAACTCATTCTACAACTTGCCAACTTAAAACAATTTATAATCATTCAAAGGCCGATCGCATAGTAATTTTGTAGGCCCTAGAAGCATTTTGACGAGTCCAAATTTCAAGTGCACTTCACCCCAAATTAGTTTTTGACTAGAATAAAAATAGAAAAGTTGTAGAAAACGATGCCGCAATTTTTTTTTTCGATTTTAGCTTAATCTGAATTTTTTACAGATTTTTAGAAATGCAGAATTTATATCTTAGGCCGTGACATTTTTGGCCTGAGGCGAGTGACGTATTTTTGAGGCATTGTTCTCCGTCACTGCCCAGTGCGCATGTCAGAGTTTGACGTACATCCGCTCAAAATAGGGAGTTTAACACGACCACGGCGAAAAAGTCACTTATATAGTGGCTTTTAGTGCGTTCTTTAAAATTTCAGCGCGATTATCCCAACTCGCTCACTTCGTTCAAGGTACAGTATGTGGTCCTTGCATGGTCCGGCCGATTTTACTCTGTGATGTAATTTTTGGGAGAAAAACAAAGTTTCAATACAAGCGAAACTTTTCGAGTGTTTATTGATCTGTTTGCCTTCTTAAGCTTGATTTCGCTTTTTCCTGATGCTAGTGAAGGTTGGAAAATTCAGGTAACGCATACGTAGGTGAATTTTGTTCTGTTATTTTTATTATTTTTATTATTATTATTTTTTTATGGTTAGGCCATCCCCTTTTTTTTTCTTCGTTTACCGTCGAATGCGTTTCCTGATATTGGGTCGGTCGGTCGGATTGAAAAAAAAAAACTAAAAAAAAATCACAAGATGTCTCGGAATCGTAGGCCAGGTAACCCAGGACGACGTTAAAAGTTAACATTCACATATTTAGATTAACAAAATGTACAATATACTGTGAAAAATGTTCATGTTTTTGTTCCTGTTTTTTTCCCTATGCTGTTACTATACTCATTTTTCAGATTAAAAGAATTATTTCAAGTGAAAAATGGTGTAACTACGTCGTTACTTTTTTTTTGGAAAATGCCAAAAATTTGGGTTGCTCGGACGACGGTAAACGGAGAAAAAAAAGAGGATGGCCTTACTTGGATATATTTTGAATTCAGGCATATGCAATTAAGTGCGTTAAGAAAGCCAATTTTGGGTGTACGTGGCATTCAAGGAATGTTCTTTCGACTTGCAAAACTAGTTTGTTCGAGAGGTTGAATTTTAAAACCAAAGTTATAGATGATATTTTCAAGAACTATAGTGGCTCTTGTTTATCATTATGGAGATATTTAGGCGAAACAAGTTGCATACTTCAAAGCTCTAGCCAGAGACACCTCCATTTTTAGATGGCGAGAAAGAACTTGTGGCAACAAAAGGCGAAAAATGCCTTGTTACAACTTACATATAAGTTGGAACTTGAGCATAAACGTTCGAGACTAAGCCGTTTTGTTCGTGTCATTGTAATTAAGATTTGCTATTCGTGTTACTTTTCATTTTTTTGACTTTTTGTTAATCTTAGGTGGGCCACACTTTGCGATATCGCATTTTCTAATCATTATAAATCTATTTTGTTTCATGTCGGTTCTAGCGCTTTCGAAATTTGAAATGTCCGCAAAATTATGGACCGAGCGTTTATTACGTCTTAGGGGAGGGGGTGGTTTCAGAAACGTAATTTATATCGTGCAGAATCTATTCCATCAGGGGAAAGGCAGTCGCAGCATTAGCCTAAACAGTCATTATTTAACCATTATTCCTCGCGCCCGAATGGAGTCTGAGTTAATAGCCCTCGAGGCCGAAGGCCAAATGGGCTATTGACTCAGAGGCCATGAGGGCGAGAGGAATAATTGTTTTACTAATATCCAACTAGTTGGTCAAAAATATAGAGACAAAACAACTTTAGCTAGTTAAAGCTAGACTTTAAGCCTTTTTGCCACCAAAAAGCCGGCCGGGCGCTTTGCGCTACTAGTGGACTATAACATATAGCATAGTAGTAGCTCAACCAATCAGAACGCAGCATTGATAATAGACTACTAGTTGGATTTTACTAAGTAGTGTTATTCAAGAACCCACAAGACAAATTGCAAATCTTGACTCTGGCCAAGCAAATATATCGCGGGCAAACCGATTTCGTTTTAAATCGGTACGAAGAGGTTGTAAAAAGACCTTTTGGTTATCTGCTGATTGATCTGAAAACCGCTACCTAAGATAATTGTCGACTGCAAATAAACGTTCTGCCTAGTGAAGCAGGCTTTAACCAAGCAGGTTTTCAAGAAAATATTCCTAAAGAGCTTCTAAAATATCTAAAGCGGCAAAATCTTTCGCCTGTGCCGCTTCTTCCAGCTATGCAAGAGATACAGGGCAACATGGATGACACACTTTCTCGAAACGATATTCGGGACGATGAAAAAGCTAAGCGATACTTTTAGTTGCAAAGCAGATACCTGGCTTTTAAGGAACAATTAAATACTAGAACACGACCGGAAGAAATAATCAGCGCTGTTCCGGACTTAACATGCATCAAGCATGCACGCAAGATTCCTCGACAGCAACGGCAGCATTCTCCACTCCCCNACAAAAGGCGAAAAATGCCTTGTTACAACTTACATATAAGTTGGAACTTGAGCATAAACGTTCGAGACTAAGCCGTTTTGTTCGTGTCATTGTAATTAAGATTTGCTATTCGTGTTACTTTTCATTTTTTTGACTTTTTGTTAATCTTAGGTGGGCCACACTTTGCGATATCGCATTTTCTAATCATTATAAATCTATTTTGTTTCATGTCGGTTCTAGCGCTTTCGAAATTTGAAATGTCCGCAAAATTATGGACCGAGCGTTTATTACGTCTTAGGGGAGGGGGTGGTTTCAGAAACGTAATTTATATCGTGCAGAATCTATTCCATCAGGGGAAAGGCAGTCGCAGCATTAGCCTAAACAGTCATTATTTAACCATTATTCCTCGCGCCCGAATGGAGTCTGAGTTAATAGCCCTCGAGGCCGAAGGCCAAATGGGCTATTGACTCAGAGGCCATGAGGGCGAGAGGAATAATTGTTTTACTAATATCCAACTAGTTGGTCAAAAATATAGAGACAAAACAACTTTAGCTAGTTAAAGCTAGACTTTAAGCCTTTTTGCCACCAAAAAGCCGGCCGGGCGCTTTGCGCTACTAGTGGACTATAA